GAGAAATATCTTCACTTATCTTTCCAGTTATCATACAGAAAATTACCATTAGTCATCCTACCAAACCACTAGTTTGACAGGTAACTGCGCTTCTTGGGTCACTGTTGCTCACAGTTAAGAAGCTTGCGGGTAAAAGCAGCTGTTCAGAATGATTTCAGACACTGTAAAGTAGAAGATCGGATTCCAAATTTCTACAAAGTACTCCACAGGCATCCCTAAATCCTCTCGTCATCCACTCCAGTCATAATACAGGATAAATGAGGCATTCTGCCATGCTGTGATTTTCGGAAGACAGCTCTTCCACTTTTCAAAGAGACTGTCCTCACTACCGAGAACTGCTTAAATAATCTCGTGTTGACTCAAGTATTTTCAGCAGCCTGCAAACTCAGTATCTCGGAGCAGTTAATAGCATCTGTACACATATTACAAGAAAACTCTATGAAATATTTTAAGGTTTTTTTCCAAATGGAAAAGAGCTTCCCAGCATTTCTCATTAGACCATACAGAAAGATGCCACTATTTGAAAATAGGAGGAGAGGCATTTTTCTAAGACCATCCATAAAAAGTCTTCCTTTCCCAGAAACGATACAAACAGCTACTACATATTTCCCTGCTCATAGCTAAAAAGCTCTGAGGAGGGAAATGGCCTTGGCTAGCGGTCTTTCTTCAGCAAACATCAGCATCCCAGAAAAACAGTTACAATATTCAATACTGGAGCAGTGCAGTTTGGGGCAATATAGCTGTATTTTGTTCAGGTCTAAGCTTCACTGAGGGAACGGCTCCAACGGCGTCTCTCAGCCATTGCTGACTGATGCTCTCAGACCCTGTAACAGCAAAAGACTGTGGCACAAAATCCACCGTTTCTGAAAGGAGAGGAATAAACTCCCTTCTTATCATTCCCAAAGAGCAGACAGTAGTAGTTTGAAACATGAGGCTTCCCTATGAGTTGCACCAGACTTTTGCTGGAGACACATCCCCTAGACATAACAGGGATGCTTGCATTGCACTGGAAAAATCAAGATTCAAGCCAAGAGAAGCTTCTTAATTAAGATGATGGTTGGCATTTCTTTAAGTACAATATTCTTTAAAAGCATTAAGCCAAATATTAATGTTTGTCATAATCTTTCACTACCATAGAAACAGAGAAGTAGCACCACAAGATTACATTGTGCTGTTTCTCGGCCACTATTTATTACTTTGCTAATAACAAATTCAGTCAAAATAAAGCTCTCAACCATTTAATAATACTGCCTTTAAATATACCAATCCAAATATATATTTAGACAAGGCTAAGTGCTGTTTACTTGAATGCACTACATTATGGTATATCTTAAACAAACACATTTCTATGACTTCTTTAAAACAATTTTCTAATACTACTGGAAAAAAAAAGTCTAACTGAACATGCAGACATTTTTATGTCAATAACATTAGGATTATGAAACAAGCCAGAGATAAGGTTTAATGTAAGCCCACTGGGCTCATTTCTGTTTGCTCATTTCATCAAAGCATGAGTTGAAAGACAGAATATATCATCTTCACAGTAGGCTTTCTGGGTAGTCCTAATTGGTACGGTGCAATAAAACCAGGAACAACCAATAGTATTTTGGTAACAAAGAAGCTTTTTAGTATATTTATAGTAACATAAAAAAAAAGGGGAGAGGAACCTTTCACTGCACAAGCAATACATTGCTGAGAGTGCAATTACACAGAAACCACCATTTCCCAAGCTGCTCTGGTCACTCAGATGCTGTTTTGACTTGAAAAGTAGTTGAATAGATTACAGCCCAAATGAGTATTTTATATTTACCAATAATCAAAGAGGAAGTTAATTAGTACCTATTAAAAGCAAATATTTTAAAGTCAAAAGTAACAGAGAACTTGTGCGGCTGACTATTATTACCACTAATTTAGCTGGTTTTGAGAATCATGTTTTCTTTTGCATTTTATTTTCCATGGGAGGAGGATTAAGCAATGGAAAAAAAGAAAGAGAGAAAACATCAAGGGGAAGACAACAAGTACTGTGCCAATACTGAAAAATGGATATTGAGATGAAAGTGACTACAGCTAGCATTGATCTGAAATAAGAATTTTGGCTAAGATTGGCATGTGGAGAAGACAATAATGCAATTGGTTCTATGGGAAATCAATTTGTCATCAAAACTCAAAGATTCTCATCAAAAGGATAAGCTTTGGCCAGAAGCGTTAGAAGTTTGATATTTCTTAAGCTTCTGCTTGCCTTGGTCCAATGGAGTGGTCTAATAAAAACAAGTGCTTTAGAAGATCAAATACTGACTTATTTGACAGTGAGGAAAACACCACTCATGGAGAACACATGTCCCAGGTTCCTAATGGCTCTGCCCCTCACCTGCTGCTGCTCTTAAGCGGGAACGTTGAAGAAACAACAGTCAAGTGCTATAAACAACTTCACTCAATGACGCTACGATTGATTTTTCACACCATTGATCTCTCCCCACGTACTACGAAGTGGTAGGAAATCTAGCAGCACAGAAAAGAGAGGCTATCATAGCTCCTCAGCTTATCAGGTTTCACATGGCCTAGCTTAGGGAAGTACTTCTAGGCAGTTTTTTGAAATGTCCAGTCTTTCTTTGAAACTGTTCTTTTGAATTTCCATAACTACTTTTTTATGATAGACAATATTCCAGGATTTATCTTGCAGTTTGCGTGGACTACACTTCCCGGGCTTTTAATTAAAAGGGTGGGGTAGGACAAGAATCAAAGACCTCTTTATACTATTAAAGTACATCTTCCAGATTTCAGTTAACTGACTTATATGCTTTCCTTACAGTTATGTTTTCACAGAAAACAAATTAGAAGAAATAACTATTTACGAAAACAATGACTTCCAGAGTAAAATATTATTTTTCAGATCAGATGTTATTTTGTGCAAATTGTCTTAATAGAATTAGCTAACATATGCAAACTAATCAGTGTGTCTCCTGACTGGTTTTATAAACTGTTGAAGGAATATTTTACTAATAGAGCAAAAACATTAATAATTTCTACACCCTCTTTCTTATGCAGACATCATCATTATAAATAAGCTCACTCTGAAATTATCACTACAACTTTCTAGGAAAATAAGATCCTATTTATTTCCAGATGGAAGTCATTCATCCCTCAAAGATCAAACAGAGCATCTAGTTTAATGGCCAGCATTAGAGGGGGTGAAAAAGCCTGGATTCATCATCGCATGCATTAACTCACAGATCATCAATACACATTCACATTGAAAATTCACAGTGAAAATTCAGGCCTGTGAAATGCTCGGTGCTCAAGGCTGAGGCCATTAATGGAATTATCTTTTATTCAAATAAAAGTCAGGTGCCCATCACCTTGGCCAGTGAACGGCTTCCATGTCTCCACAGATGTGATCTGTCCACTCGTAATGCTTGCTTGCATCCTGCACAAAGCTCCAGGTGATCCCTCTCCTGCCTATACCGAGTAACCATTTTTGGTCAAAATACAGAGTGATTTAAAGGTACTGTTAAAAGTACAGGAAATATTTTCACTGTAAGATACAAATGATGTTAATTATGACAGAAAAGCATGACAATTATGGGAAAAACCACTGCATTTTTCACTAGCTTTTCCTTCCTATATTTTGAAGACTATTTCTGTTAGTCCACTGAAAGTTCCCCCTCATTTCCACTTCTATCTATTTCATGAAACATTAAACAGACAGTCGTGTCTTCTGTGCGGGTCATGTCTTGAAGGATCTACTTCAGACCCTAATTCAGGGCGTAGTCTCAACAACCAGGCTGAACATATAAGCTGATTGTTCACAGAGGCTGAAACTGCCCAAAAGATTCCTCAGAGAATGCAGCGCATTTCTCTCTGGTGCATACTGATGAAATCCTGCTGAATTCTCTTCTTATTTGCACATAGGGTAAAGTTGTTCGCACTTCCCAGTTAAAAACCTTTCTTGCTGGAGATGATGCCAAAAAAATAAACGATATTTCTTTCCAGGATACAAATACAGACAATCTGAGAAACTTCATCATTACTCCAAAATTTCCATCATTTTGGAGACATTTTATATCTGATCTTCCTTCAGTCCACTCTAACACAAGAGTGGGTACCAGGTATAACACTCACCTCTGGTGCGTGCAGGCAGCCTGCCCCAGATCTCTGCAACACTCTTTCACTTCCTCCTCTGCAAATGCCATAAATACAGAGATGGCCTCTTTCTAAGGAGCTCCTGTCTTTGATCAGTCCTGGCTCTTGTAAGTACTTCTATCTTATTTTTTTAATCAAATCTGTAACACCTATCTGGGGATGCAAGATGCCTACAGCAACTTTCTCTCTATTATCATAGTTTTGAACATAGGAACAGATTCTGGCTTTACCCATGTATTGAATTCATATACTAGAATAGAGATAGACTGTAAACCAGCAGGTCAAGTATTTCACTATTTAACTGTGTGTGAAGCAATTTAGCATACCATAATTTCACAAGGTCTTCACAAGGTCACAATGTCCTTGCAAAATATTTCCTCAAAAGTTCAATGTGATGAGTCATAAGAAAACACAGACTGCATCTCTCCCTTTCATCCAAATCCTTTTTTTTTTTTTTTTTTTTTTTTTTGTTATTTCTTACTGAGATGGAGGGATGATCTTTATATAGCCATATTCAATGAATATGCACCACCATTCATTGCAGTAAGAATCCATGCTATGAATGTACTAATTATATATTACTTTTCTGTGATTATGACATGCATCTCTGAACTATAATCACAGTAGAACTGTGAATGAAGTGGTTCTACGCTTTTCAATATGTTTAAAAAATACAGTAGAAAATGCACCAGCTCTAGCTATACGTTTTATAATATTAGATTTCTAGCACTATTTTAGAGGCTTATACCCCTCTATTTAATGTAATTTGTGAAAGAATATATTCCTCACAGAAAGGCAACAAAACATCATTCTACAGAAAGCAGTTCTGTAATTCTGTAATTTTGTAATTGTGTACATACCATCAAGGCCATTATGATGAGTGTAGTTTCTTTTTCCCAATATACTTAGTGAAGAGTGATTAGATGGTGCAAGTAGTCGTTTTGCACTTGGACTTTGAAGGCTTGGTGTTGACCTGATTACATTAGGCTTCACTGCAGGATGAACCTCTGTTTAAAACAAAGGAAAAAAAGACACACACATATATGGTTTTTAAAAAGTTGATATTTTTCATTCATTTCTACTTCATTTCCACTGAAACAAAAATCAGTTTCTTCAGCAGAAGGGTATCACAGAATCTTGAAAAACAGTTTAACAATTCAAACATGAGCCTCTGTGACTATGACTTTTCTGAATCTAAAATGTTTATTTCATTTTGAATTACCTGAGTTCACTGTTATGGTGGGGATGTGTACAGATTTCACGGGTGAAGAGGCAATACCTCAGCAAACCAAGGCGAAGGAGTTCTGCATTAACATTTTCCCAGCCTTTCAAGTTTTCTATTGGGATTTACAGATATTAAGCAAGCACATAATAGCACTTTATTATAGCAAAATTACCTTAATACCTAAGGTTATTTTATATTCTGTCTCATAATCACAAGCTTTAAGGGATCTCCCTAAACATAAGTCATGAGATGCTATGGCTGGGGAGCAGGCCAGCGCAGGAGTGTGTAGCTGAAACCACTGTGTCACAGCAGGGTAACAGTTCCAAAACAGGAACATCCCCCTCACACAAAATAAAGAAATAAATCAGGAGTCAGCAAGGTTTCCTTGTGGCCAAGAAGGCCAATGGGATCTTGGTCTGCATCAGGAGGAGTGTTGCCAGCAGGTCAAGGGAGGGGATCCTGCCCCTCTACTCAGCTCTGGTGAGGCCGCATCTGGAGCATTGGGGGCAGTTCTGGGCTCCTCAGTAGAAGAGGGACGTGGAGCTTGTAAAGAAGGTCTGGCAGAGAGCTACTGGACTTTTAGGGACTGGAGGACCTATCGTATGAAGAAAGACTAAGCAAGCTGGGCTTGTTAAGCCTGGAGAATAGATGGTTGAGAGGGGATCTGATCAACATGTACAAATACCTGAAGGGAGAATGTAGGGAGGATGGGGCCAAAGTCTTCTTGGTGGTGGCCAGTGACAGGACAACAGGCAACGGATACAAGTTGAAACACAGGAAGTTCCATCTCCATGTGAGGAAGAACTTGTTGACTGTGAGGGTGACAGAGCCCTGGCACAGGCTGCCCAGGGAGGTTGTAGAATCTCCTCTGGAGGTCTTCAAAACCAGCCTGGATGCTGCCTTGTGCCCTGTGCTCTGGGTGTCCCTGCTGGAGCAGGGGATTGGATGAGATGACCTCTAGAGGTCCCTTCCAACCTTGAATATTCTGTGATTCTGTGAAGAGTGAATTGGCCTCCCGGTGTGCTGACAGACTCTAACATGGAATCATTAATACAGAGTTTCAAATGCCCCAGGGTCTATGTAGCAGGATTATTCTAGAGTTGGTGACAGAAAGCTAAAAAAAGAGAGAGTTAAACCCATTTGCCAAGTGCATTTCAGAGTAGGTAGTTACCTACTCTGCAAAGGAGTTTGTGGCCAAACATAGTGTTACGGTCACGATAACCTTTATAATAGTGGCATAAATAAACAGGGTAGCTGAGCAGCAGCATCAATATTCAAGTAAGTGGAAAGGATTAGAATCACAGCAATGACTTGGCCAGACTACCTGCTGGGAACAGTATGTCAGGAAGAGGTAACACCAACAGTTTTCATGTTTGGGAAGACTTTGCTTAATTGCTAATCAATAGCTTGGTCAGTGCATGCAGTCACACTCTCAAAATAGAAATCTCCTTCTCCAAGATATTTCAAGAGAGTCAGATTAAAGAGTAGAGTATTATAATACACCTACAAAATGTTACTGATCTACCCACAACTAATTTAATTCAAAGCTTTCTACAGCTCTTCACTGTAGTATTCATCTGTTTTTTCATAGAATCATTAAGGTTGGAAGGGACCTTTAGAGGTCATCTAGTCCAATCCCCCTACACACAGTCACCTGGAGCATGTGGCACAGGATTGTGTCCAAGCAGGTTTTTAGTATTTCCAGAGAGGGAGATTCCACAACTTCTCTTGGCAATCTGTTCCAGGGCTCTGTCACTGTCACGGTCAATAAATCTTTCCTTACGTTCCTGTGGAACTTTTGATGCTTCAATTTGTGGCTGTTTTCTCTAGTCCTATCAGTGGTCACCACTGAAAAGAGGTCAGCCCCATCCTCCTCTTCCTCCCTTAAGATATTTATATACACTGATTAATCTCCTCTCAGCTTTCTTCATGCTGAACTGGTCCAGCTCTCAGCCTTTCCTCATAGGGCCAGGATCATGAAGTTCCCAAAGGATTTCATGGCATCTCCCACTCCTCATGTAGGAAACACAAGTCTATTTTACTCTTCTACTAAAACACGAATGGAGGGGTGCTTAATGGTATGAATATAGTTATAGTTTGAAAATTTCTCTTAACAAGATAGAAAGGTTTGTACTGTTTCCTGAAGGCAACTGGAAGCTGTAACTTAAAATGCTCCTTTCACAATCTTTTTCAATACTTTGAAAGGGAAAAAAATAAACAACAACAAAAAAAAAAAAAAAAAAAAAAAAAAAAAACCCAAAACATCTTCAGGGCTAACATCGCATAAATAGTATCTTGTTTGCCAAAGGGCTCTAGCAGTAACCACAATAAACCCAGCACAAGGTTAACAGACAGTAACTTGAACATCCCTTCTGTTTGCAGAGTTCAGGAGAGAGTCTTGTGTTTTCAGGAACAGCTAACAGCACAGAAAGAAGCATTTCTTTCTTTCAACTTTTCTTCGAGAAGGTGGTTAATCCTCAGATTTCCATGAAGGAAAGGAAAGCAGCTGGAGCCAGGCCTACCCGCTGCTTTAGGTGCTGAAGAGGAACTTAACTAAGCAGCTAGGATCCCTTCTACACTGGTGAATCGTTTGGGAACCCCTTACTTTGGGGTCTTCATACCATATGCACTCATCTTCTACCCATAGGCTCGCTTCAACAATTTCCATGCTCCATAGCCCTTCTTAACTAGCTACTTCATCAAATCTGAGAGAGATAATGAGGTATTTTAGAGCTCCTCCACAAATCAGGTTATCTCATTGTACGATTCTACTGTGGAATAATAGAATTAGGGATTCTTATATTCTTGCTATCCTTGTTCTATTACCTGGTACTTTTCTTCATTGAAATTTTCCTAGACACTTGCAGCTTCTGCTAACTCAGAAAACTGCCAATAGAACTCAGAAAACTAACAATAGCACCTGAATAACCCCAAACTCCCCCTACAGCAATGTAGCAAATATCCAGTTGGACAGCTTCACATTGCACATTCATTTCTGAAATCAAAATAAAATAATTCAGGAAGCAGAAACAAAACTTCCAGCACATTTATATTAGGAGCTCAGGTTGTGGCCTCATGTAATGAAGAGGAATAACAATCCCAAAGATTTCCACTAGTGTCAATAATGTTAAAAAGAAAAAAATAAATAGCCAAAGCCAATGAAGAAGGACCAAAGGGTTCCACGGAGTCACCTAAATAAATGATCTGCATCCTAGAGATGTGGCTGCATTAGGTACCTCATCTGGAAACCTGTGCCTGGTTTCCTCACAACTAGGAGGCAATACAGGGCATGAGGTTCACCTCAGGGTGGGTGTTCTGTAAGCAGGGTGGGGACTGAAGTGACTCCAGGGGATTTGCTCTTCAGAAGTACAAGACTTGCCTTCAATCTGCCTCAGGAGGGGCAGATAAGCAGCAGAACAGCAATGAGGGGAAACCATCACCCAAAGGAGTTGAGACCCATCCACGTTACTGCTAGGGCTGGAAAAGGTAGTGCCCTGTATGAAAAAATTATCTATGTTCCTTGTGAGAATGGCATAAGGGGCATTTTGAAAAAGAGAACAAAAACCTCATGCTCAACCTATGTCTTGATATTTAATAATAGACTTCAAGGTAAGCATCACTTACTGTAATATGTTGGGATGAGAAACTAAAAGCCATCTCCTAGCAATCTTTAGGCAGCTGATTGATATACATATCCACAACTCCTTTGGGTATACTTCATAACCCTGCAGCACATACTATTTTCCTTCAAACCATACTGAGATACCTTCACTTCCCACACAATCAGATGCTCGGCTGACTCTGCGGGTGCCTGGTGTATTTTAGCACTGTTAATCTTACAAACCCCTCACCCAAGCGCACACAACAATATTTGATGCTGTTCATCCATTTACTGTCACCAAACCTGCAGATGTATCGTCCCGGAGACACCAAGAGGACCTTTCTCAGACTGAGCAGCGAGGCACTAAAGACACCTGGTCTCTTCCAAGACGCACAAGCTGTTGACCCCAACGCGGTCAGCCAGACCTGCACCTCCTGCCTTATCTCACAGCCACAGCTGCACCAAGCAAATCAAACCGTGCTGCTGGTGGCTAAAATAATACATGCAGCTGGAAAGCCTATAGCAAACTACCATTTTGATTTTTTTCCTTGAACTTCAGGGTAGGAGGAATCAAAGCTCAGCAAGAATAAATATTAACTCTTCCTTATCCAGTTTCCAGTTTTGTTAAAAGAGATGCCCTGGCAGAACAGTTATAACTACATTAATGGACAACCTCCATTTTAGCAAGTCAAGGTTGGTATTGCATATGTTTACTTTGTCCTACTATAAATGAACTCCTGGTGACTGCAATTTTCGGAAAATTCCTGGACTGAAGCCTATCCTTGGCTATACTTCTGTGAAATGGGATTAATATGCTGCAGAAATATTCACTGTTTCTCTGAGTAACAGATTGATTTCTATATTCATTTAAAATTCATGAAAAGCCTCTGAGGTATCTCACCTCTTATATAAGTACTTGAGAGTCTGAGGTGGTTGTTAGCAAAGAGGGTCATTTTGGAGTTTTTAATAATGAATCACAGCTACTAATTTTCCTTTAATTCCCTTCTTCCACTATCACAGGAGCTTCTTGTCCTCTTAGCTATGAGCTCAGTACAGAATTTCAATACATCTTTTTATCTTTTTTGAACTACAGCATCAAAGAACATCAACATTCAGTTTGGCAGAGGTCTGTTCCTTTTAGTGCATGGGAGTATTACAAGTGGATTCAAGGAGTACAGATGTAGAGTAGAACCGAGTACACTGAATATCAGCTCTTTAGAGTGGTTTCTTTTTTTCTTTTTTTTTTTTTTTTGGTAGGCTAGCAGACTCTTTTGCATGTTCTCAGTTACATCAGGTTGCAATCTGTCATTTTTAACCCAGGATCAGAAGGAGACTTTCTGCCTACAATCTGCAAGATCAATCACACAGTTTTGCAACCAGTTACAGTAGTCTACCAGAATTTTTATTAATTTATCTTAAACGATTTCTTGTTAATAAAAGCATAAATCTTTCATTCTGTGCATGTAAGATTTTCAAAGATCATTAAATAGTGAAAATTCATTTGATTAATTTTTCTCCAAGGGCAGATACCCACCTAAATACCCAATGATACATGACAGTGGTTTTCTGGTGCTTTTGATCTTCAGTGGATTTCCAGCAACTTCACAATGTCGATCTGCATCTGAGAATTTTAAAGAGTAAAGCTCAGTTTAAATATAGTACCACTACAAATATAATAAGGATGCACCTACCAGTTTCCCACTTACATTCTGACCATAAATTTCTTGACTGTTTTTTTTTCTTTTAGTATAACTTCTTCTTTTTCATCAGTGCTAGTAATGATACAGATTTTAAGGCAGGCTGTATTCTCATTTATGCAAAAACAATCAAAATTACGATTCTTTGTTAAAAGTTAATTTATATTGTATTACAATTTTGATTACATTTTGCATCAACCAGATCTTTTTGGAAATAGTCAACTATGCAAATGAAATGGATGAAAACATGCGTGTTAAAATAAAAGTAGCTCTGTTCACAAGGATTTACATGGAATTCTTCATTTTTTTTCTACAAGGTTGCCTGGAACTAAGTGGGGAACTACAGTGCCAAGAAGAATTCTAAAATTGGGACTACAGAAATCTTAAGTAAAATACAGCACTGAATCCCTAAGTAAAATCCTTAAGTAATAAGACAGTGGCTGATTATGGCAATTTGAATCTTGAAGAAACTCAATATACCTACAGCTAGGTAAGTTCCCATTCTGGTATGTTTTTCTTATGAATGTCTTGGATACAAAAAGCTTACGGTGAAATCCTGTCCTCAATGAGTGCCACTGAATTTTTCACTTATATTAGTGGTTCATCATTATTATATAACACTTGATGTTGTTAGTAGTATTTCTGTACTTAGTGAAATATATACATTTATATTGGACAATCAAGTAAAAATCCAGAGATATCAATCAGCAATTTCATCCCGCAACTAAAATAGGATCATACTGGTGATGGTGGATAACTGAGGTAAAACTGAGTACTCAGACTGCTCTGGTATTTTAAGATGCTTCCTATAAGATAAAGCATACAACAAAATTTGCTTTGCCCTGGATAATAATGGGATTCAAAGCTTCTCTACTGTTTATCAAAAAAGTCTACTATGGAACCAGTTGGTAGAGGCCAAAAACAAAACAGAAAAGAAGCTCTGCTTTGTTGGGAGCTTTTTACTTTTTTGCTTATCTGAATCTTAAGATCATCTAACAAAATTAAACAATTCACACGTTAGTTTTAAGATAAATTCTTATGGAAAGTAAAACCATATATTTCTGACCTGGTGTTCTACAAATGTAAAACTTGCACTTCTCCTGCCTATACTCACACACTATATATAAAATACACAAAACAACCTTTGCAAAAACTTTTGAAAAAGTTGGCTGGTTTTAACCAAATATAATAGCTCTCAAAAGTCTAAGATAACTTTCTGCAAAGTACATGAAAATAGACTTGAAAATTACCTCAGTGACTACCTGAATTGATACAACTATCATCTCTACTTTTAAAAAGGTAAAAACACTTTAAAAAGGTAAAAAACTACCTTTTTAAAAATCACTTGGGATGACCGAGTCATCTCTTTTCCAAAAGCACAGGAATAAACCTAACATGGGATTTCCAGTATCCCTTCAACACTGGCATTTTGTTTATTATGCAATTGCAAAAGTATTTTTAATTTGTATATCTAGAATCCCCATTTATCACATATACCTAAGCATATATACGTGTTTCTTTGTATATATATCATACATAGGTTTGCACTTTCCAATAACCTTTATAGGGGCTAGATATTACAATTAAATTGTAATAAGATAATTCAAATTCATCTCCACTTTGTGTTTTTTTTTTTTAACCAATAAGTTTCTATTTATTTAATTCCAACACAAATGAGCACATATGCACATGAAATGGATTGGAAACTACACAGAAAAACTTATATCTAACAAAAACACAACAGGAATAAAATTCACAGGATCCACAATCTTTTTGTATATTCCACGCAGATTTGTGGGGAAAAAAAAATATGTCATGTTATCAATATTTTATTTATTTTCAGTTTTTACCTTTGTCCTGCAAGTCATAAATGTAGACAATATAAAATTTTATTTTTAGTTTTTTAGTAAGTTTAGTATATTAAGCTATATTCAGCATCTACATGAAATTCTTATAAGCTTTTAGCAAAAATTCTAGCTGGTATGTGGGAAACTCAATGGTTCTTGGACTCTAATACTATATATATAAAATACCTTTTTTGTTGTTTTATCTTAATATAAATAATGACATACTATTCTTAGAGTAAAAGAATGTTTTGAACCTAGTGCCTGGAATATTTTTGATATTCCTCAACACTTAAGAGTATTTAAATGAGAGAGTACAAAAACGTGTCTCCAGTGTCTCCTTGTGTATAACACAGCACTCGATACTACGCAGAGTATTCTACAGCTAGTTTGGGAAAAGCAAAGCAACCACTATGACATGGCGAGAAACCTGCAACCACCCATGTGCACTGTGAAAAAGATTCATCCAGTGCTGAATCATGATGAGATATTAACATGTTGACTGAAAACACACACTGGAAAGAGCACAGTTTCCATGCTCTGGAAACAGACACTCACTAAAAGTGGGTATTCTAAACTAAAACATTCTCGTAAAAATATCAATGATGTATTTGATCATACTTTTCATGGAGCATTATGCTGTGGATTAAAGATGAGCATTGTTATGCACCACAGAGAAAAACACAGAGTTAAATGGTGCATCATTATTTAGTGCAAACTTACAGACTATAGAATAAAATCTAGTTAGAAAGTCATGGAAAAAAAAAAAGTCTCAACAATATTCTCCATCAAACTCCGGAAATTAAATATGGAGTTTTAAATAAACACTAAAAATATTAATAATATCAGTGAAATGCAGGCAGCTAGTTAACACTAGCAAGTTGAATGTGTAACCACAACAAAAGAATGCCAAAATTTCTTTGATTTATGCTTAGGGCATAATATTTGATAGCACATTTTTCCCAAACACATCAAAAGCAAAAAGCACGCTAGTGCCCGTAGAACCAGAGACCATCAAGGTGTGAAAAAAGTACAAAAAAATAGATAATAGATACAGCAGAAAAGCTGAATGAACTTGCTGTATCAGTATCCTCTACAGAGGATCTTAAACAAGGTCTCCTCCAGAATGCTTATGTGAGGACATTGTGAAAAGTACCTCACATCAAGGTGTCCATAGGAAATAATTCAGAACAAACTGATAAGTGAATAAACGCAAGTTTCCAGGACCAGCTGAAATCCACCCATACAGAAACTCACACACTGCAGATGTTTAACTTGCTGTTTAAATTGATCGCAGTGTAAGAGAACAAAACCATGGCAAACAGTAACATTCTTGAGTGTTATCTGTATAACGGCAAAGAGGTTGAATTATTAGTAAAGGTATACAGGTTAAATATGAAAATGCCAAGTACACAACAAGGCTTCTGAAGAAGGGAAATCCAATAAGCAGGTTCACATGAGTGAGCGCTGGCGTGCGTGCCCTTGTTACAAGGAGAGGCACATGCAGGTGATCCCCTCTCGTCAGCCCTTGTGGGACATCTGGGCACCGTGACCAGGCTCTCCAGTAGAAGGAGGACAGGAACATATCGGAATAGGTCCAGTTACTGCATAGTCTCCAAGCTGGTCATGGGCTGGAGCACAGAGTGAGCACAGAGGGCCTGGGGGAGCTGGGTCTGCTCAGCCCTGAAAGTCAAGGGGAGACCTTATTGCTGTCTCCAACCACCTGATGGGCAACACAGAGAAGACCCTTCAGACTCAGGCTCTTCTCAGAGGGCAGCAGAGACAGGATGATGGACAGCAGAAATAAGTGCAAACACTAGACCAGGCACCCAGAGAGGTGGTGGAGTCATCTTCCATGGAGATGGACAAAACACTTCAGGATGAAAGGCTCTGGGAACCCTGAGCTCTGTGCAGGGGAAGCAGGTGGAGGAATCAAACTAGAAACTCTAAAGGATTCTACCTCCTTCTCCTTCTTTCTTACTTCTCTACCTTCCTACCTGCAGGACTGAGTCTGCCATTCCAGCTCTCACAGGTCTGGGAGGCTTTAGTGGAGGAATTAATTCATATATGCATGCATCTATCTGGCGGACTGCACCCAGCTTGAGATTTCAAGTCGCTTTTGACAAACTGTGTGATGAAAAACTGCTGCTTTCCAGCTGTTATGGGGCAAAAGATAAAAGCTTTTCTTTTTTAGGGAGTTGTATCTAATTAAAAGGTAAGACAGCAATCTTCCATACAATCCCAAAAAGGATCTGTGCAGTTCAACTTTAAGATAAACAGGAAAAGAGATGATCAGTGAGTTAATAAAACCCAATGAGGCAAAAAATCACTGAGTACAATCAAAACTAGAACTGATTGTGAAGGATCTCAGTAGGATCAAGGAATAAATGCAAATTAATTCTTCAGGGGTAAAATGACTATATTATACATAATGATGATTTCCAAACTATCACTATGCAGGAAAGAATTCATGGAGCTAATGTCAACAGTTTCTAAAAGTATCAAGGTAATATTCAAATGGTCATTCAGAATATCCAGGAAATTCCTTATGAGAATAGCCAACAGGATGGGAAGAAGAAACAAAACAGAAAAGCTTCACACGCTTCACACTAGAGCTTATGGAAAAACTATATCTTGAAGTGCACATCAATCAGAACAGCCTAATTCTTAAATGGATATAGTACAATAACTGCAGGAAACAACATCATGAACCACAGTATGATGCAGCTTCTCTGTGAGAAAGTTTTAAACTGACTGTGATCTCTGCCAAGAAAAACAATGACTGATGTGGGAATTGCAGAGGTCTATGAAAATACAGGTACTATGGAGAAGGTGATAGGGAATGGTTATTCACCATTTCTCAAACCATCAAAATTAGAGGGTGCCAAATGCAAATACCAGGAAGCAGAAGTTAAAGTTTCCTTCGCTCTTGTCACGCACACATCAGTAAATGGCAAAAGTCATTTCCATAGGATGTTTTAGACAACAGAAGTTCGAGATGGTTGGAAACACAGTGATCCTCATTTTTGGCAGAGAACCAAGATGGCTTGTTCTTCCAGATTGGAAGAAATTCTCGTTTGGCTTAGGTTTTCTTTTTTTCCTACCACATTTTTACTAGATAAATCTACTAGATTTTCTATCAGCTCTCTTAAAGGCTCATGGACTTCCACTTGGGAGTTGTTTGACATTCCACCACATCTCTGTTAAGTTTCTAATGAACTTACTTTGTTGTATAATTTTTGCTGTCGCCCACTACAATCAATGAAAATATTGATATGACTATGTGCAAATAAAACAAGAAAAAAAGAGTCTGTCTTAAAAACTTCCTTTGAAGTAATAAGGTTCACGGATGTACTGCTGTGCATATAGCAACATGCCTGTAAGCTGGAGACAGATACAATCTTGTCAGTGACTAGCTGGAGAAGAATGACAACTTAACTTTCCTCTAATTAAGACAACTTGCATAGGCAGGGTAATTTTGCTTAACTTTCTAGAAATCATGTCAAGTGTATTTAAGGTAAAAATAAGATAACTTTCCTGATTTAGAGCATGGGAATTTCCTCCTACAGAAACAAATCACCAATTCAAATTTTTCTCAAAGGCCCATCAGACTGGTTTATTGTCAACAGCCAACATTACCTTCAGCCAGCTATTACCTTCAGCAGAACAAAATGTGAGATCTCCAAGAAGTGTCATGCTTCTAGCAGGACACGCTATGCTATTTCAGCATTTTGTTAGCCATCCCTAAACCGAGCTGAGATGGGAATGCATCCTCTACGTTATCTCCTGCTGGCATCTGACATGAGGTTTGCTAATCATCAAATTGTAATTCTCTGCACTGACTAAAGAAATGAAGAACATCCAATAGCACCTTGTTTTCTGCCACTGGATGTGGAGGAAGACGATGTGGATGGAATTACAAGAATCAAACCAAACACCCCATCTGAAATCTGGTTTCTCCAGATGCCTGAGGCTGGTGTTCTCAAAAGCTTCCATGCCCCGCTGAGTCAGGGACATGGAAACTATCTGCAAGGTGGAATGGAAAAATCAATTTATCTTTACTGCAAGTTCTGACTGGCTTGTCCAAATTTCTTTCTTCTGATCTGGGAAGCAGTTTCATTTACAGCCTGGCCCTTCAGTGAACTGCATGACACCACAAAGACATAAAACCTGGTACACTGCTGGAGTAGGTGCCCTCCCATCCCTTTCTAAATTTTAGGTTTCTGAGTATGTGATAACATTGCACCTACTGCAATTTACCTGTCAAATGCAGCTATTGGCCGAGTACTGGCTCTGTACACGTACACATATTCAGGTGAGCCTTGAGAAGTATCTAAAGGGTCATCAGATTCAAGTTCTAGAATACCAGTGTAAAAAACAAAACAAACAAACAAAACGTCCTGTCCATCTCACATCACATCAAATGAGTCACCTTGTCACTTTGGCCAGGCTACTGTCACGGTGTGAGTCTAACTGCTCAAACATCACTGCAAACATTGACTCAGCACTGTAACTGCGTGCCTCTGTACTATTCAGCTTATAAAATCATTACTATTAAATATCTCGTGTAAAAATAACTGTCATCAAATTAGCTTTAAAAAATGATTCAAAGATTCAAGAGGAGAGAGTCTATTTTAACATAAAATTAAAATCTGCAAAGCAATCTTAAGACCCAGGTCACCAGAATTACGATAAACAAACCAGAAAATTATATTTTATAAACTCACTTAACAGGATTTACTAAAGTAAGAATGTAAAAATGAAAAATTGCACTCAGGTTAAGAACATTGTGGAGAACATATGGAGACACATTCAGAAACAGAATATATCTATGTGTGTGTGCACGCGCGCATTTGTGTGTACATACTGAGAAACATGAAAAATATGTATGATCTGTTTACCACTATTATATAAGTTTCAAAAATATATAGTGTTTAAAAAGAAACAAACATAGTTTTTTTTCAATCTATTTTAGGTCTGCAGCATGAATGCTTAATACTTCAGGAAACAACAGCACTCAAGCAGACAAAACTGCGAGGCCAAATTTTCCTGGGAGTAAGGACAGTAACAAAAGACAGAGGCTACAGAAAACAAAACACAACCACAAGACAACGTCTTTCTCGTCTTGATCTTTACCTGTTGTGACATTCTTTCAGTCAAAGGAATAGAGATGAAGCATTTATGACACTGTCAGTATGATACAAGAATGACTATGCCCTATTAAAAGCTTTGCTTTCATTTCTTCGTTTTAGAAGTTGAACTGTATGTAACATTTGTCCTAAAATGATGATTAATAGTCTCATTTTGGGGTTTTTTTTTTTGTTGTTGTTGTTTTTGTTTTTTTTTTTTAATTCCTTAAGCAAGAGCTTCATCTTATCTCAAATTGAATAACCAGAGCAAGTAAGAACAAATAGGGATGGGGATAAAAAGACTCAAGGTTACAGTGAGCCTAATTCTAGAAGTAATTTCCCTCCATGGTCTATTAGAAATCAGTGCCAACTACATAAATTAAAAGGAACACTTTTCCTCTTAGAAAATAATTGCTGTTCTACTAGTTCATGAATATTTCAAATGCTGTAGTGTATTAGGATAAATGTAAATCTAGTCCTCTCTTCACTTTTTCAACACTTTTTTTTCCACCAACGTACTAGAATAAATCTATTTGACTCGCATATTGGACATGCAATTTCCTTTCAGACTGGTTTAAATCCACTGATCTGAAAAGTGCTTCCGACTTAACTCCCAAAGAGGAAAGAAAATACCCAAAAGGACAACGGAATGAAGGAGACAAAGACCATAATTGTTTACCAAATTCTGGATGTCTGTAGATGTTAAAAAGTTTGCCTTACAGAAGGGCTGGCACTAAAGAACATAAGGGAGAACCCATCTTATAACCATCTATAATATTACTAGTGAATTTTTTAGTTCTATATAGTTTGGTTTTAAAAAAGCCTGCTACAGAATTAAATTGAAAGCTAAATTTGAACTGCAATGGACATAAAAAGATGCAATTATGATGAAATAACAAACATGCTGTCACTGGCATCTGAGCAATAGCAAGTGGCTGTGTTACACGTCCGACTGGCACCCTCACACATCCTCAGCAATGTATCTTGTTCTTTGAACACCACCATTGAGAAAGAGTAAGGTGATATAGACTACACTTTCTCCTATGCAAAAGAACCAACAATACAAAAACAAACCTCTTTCACACTAAATAGCAGGAAGCATATATGTCATAACATCGATTTCCCCCCAAACTTATTTTTTAATAACAATTTGTGATTATTAAGATAATGGAAAACCCTTTTTAATTCATTTTAAATGTTTCTCCTTTCACCACTTTGCAAATATCTTCTCTTCTTAAGATAGCCTCAAACCTGTTCAGGGCAACCAGACTTTATCCAAATGTGTTGGTGATATGCTAGACAAATGAAAAAAAAATGAAAAGCAAAAGGGTATAGACAAGAAATGTTTATTGTAAAAGAAAATAAAATTAAAAGACAAAAATGGGTGGGAAGCACAGCACACAGAACTAAGAATTAAAAAAACATCTTACATTCTGCCTTAATGGCAGCACAGTTAATAGGGACAAAGGGACGTCTTGCTGCCTGCCGCAGCCGGAGGGTATTTTTGCAGACCTGGCGAGCAAGTTTTGTCCAACACGTTGTGTGAAGGAAGAAAGCCTGGCGGGTCTTCACGGCCGACTTTGGACTCCCAGTGTTACGAACTGGAGTGCCCTGTGTGGCCTGTCGCGACATATGAGTTCTAACGTGGGACTCCTATGAAAATAAAACAAGGACAAATCATAACACAACATCCACTAAACAAATGTATATAACATTATCAAATATTATTATCATCAATATTAAGTAAAGGGTATTCTTTCTCTACAGAGAATGAACATGACAGCACTATTTCCCTCCTATTTCAGCATCTAAAAAAAATACCCAGAATTGGGTAAATTCATGAGGTTAATAAAATTACGTGCATCAGCACCATGCAAAAACTACTTTATATAAAAAGCTCTACAACAAAAAAGTAAGATCTATTGTGAGTGGAAAATATCAATGCCATTCTAAATTAGATATAGTATAGACCTACTAAAAATTTACATTTAACATGACATTTGACAAATAAGATGACATCTCTCACTGAAAATGCATGAAAAGGACATTTGCCTAATGAAGACCTGGCCAAATAAAGACATGGCAGAGCTCTACACTGTCCAGTTCTACTTAAAGAGAGAAATATTCATCAGTTTTAACACATATACAAAAGCATCCTCTACATGTTGAGACCACAGCAGTCCTGAGAAAGTACCACATTTTGCTTTAGGAATGCTTATCTCCATGATCCTACCTCTGTAGGTTGGTTGGACAGTTTATCTTCATCTGTCTGTGTGGGCATTTTTAGGCCACCATATTTCTTCCAATAAATCCAGCAAGATGCACACAATCTACATTGCATATTAGGGGGGCCCCAAGAATACCATTGGTGAGATTGTGGAGCTAGGGAGAAGAAAGCAGGATAATAAATTGGTGCATCCAAAACAGTAAATCCAAATATTGTAACTACTGGCATTCTGTAGGAGCATTATGAAGATAAATTCATAAGTTTAATTCACTTGGTACAATGAAAATGAGAATCTGAAAAGCCAAAGATATTTTAATAGAGACCTTGTCACAAAAGACAAATCCCTGTAAAAATTCATAAATAATTAAAAAAAGCCCTCTATGCACCCTCCACTCAGTTGCATGTAATTCACTAAAATTAACTTCAATTTATTTAGAGTATGGAAATAATGCTTTATTGTTGTTGTTTTTGTTCTAAATATATATTAAGACTGACAAAAGTCCTAATGGCTAGACAATGACACACAATTTATTTTTAAAAAGAAAAAAAAGCCACAGAAAGGTGAAATAAGAAAATTTTACTTACTATAGCAACTTTCACAAGCCCGACCTATTAGCGAGGCCTGTGCTTGATAAGAAGCTCCCATTGCTCCATTCACTGCAGCAGGCTTCCCATTGTTGCTGGATATTTGATTGGGATTTGGTTTATTGCTTTAAATAAAATGAAAAGTCACCGTTCAGAAACGATTTTCTTGGCTTGTTAATCAACAGTTTACTTCTGGAATTCTGATGAATGGCGGCAAAATCTATAAGAAATACTCTAAACTTCAAGACTAATTATTAAGCTTCAGTAGAATTTTCCATGCAGAAAGACAATTACGTAAAGAGTAGATTCAAATTTTCAGAGCTCCAGAAAATGAAAGAGCAAAAGTTATTACCTAGCATGAGTTGCTCAGCAAGTTATGCAAAAACAAGTCTTCGAGTCAAGCATAAAAATAACCCTGAACCCTCGGCATTACCTGCAGCAAATGTCCTATAGTCACGTTAAAGCTCGCTAAGAATATCATGTATCAGGATATTCTACTCAGCTCATACTCTAAACTAATTTGGTTCTGAGTAGGCTTTTTTTTTTTTTTTTTGTTATATTATTATATTTATTAATCTACTGCTGCTTCAGTGGAGTAGGACTTTACTTCTGAAACAAAGAACACACTACAAGCTAGTCTAAACATATTATTTCCAAAGCTTCCATTTGGTGGGTGTTATTGTGAGTTTTGCTCAGAGAGGTAAAACAGTGCAGGGCTGTGTATGTTGATTTCTAATATCATTCTTCTTAAAGACAAAAATATATACAATATTAAAATGACTAATTAAAACAAACACCCTAAACATCTATATACTTATCCCTATTTCTTCACTCTTCCTGTATGCAAAACCTTTGCTCTATCATGTCTGTACTCCAGATCCAAGCAGTTCAGCCTGTCCCTTTTCACTTCGCTCAGTGAGACACTTTCTTTCACAATTTTCAGATACTCCTTATCAAGTACCTTCCCAAGGCACTCAAGAGAAGTCCCTCGGGCTCAAGGTACAAGGGAAGAAACTAAGAGAAGATTAAGCTTCCCTCCTTAGGATCTGTTGCTTAGTTACCTCCAAAAAGTGACAGTTGAAAGGGACTCTGGTTATGGAGGACAGAACCTCGCTTTTATAGGAAATAATATTTTATGATCAAGTTTTTGAACAGGTACTCATCTCTAATTTATAATCAACTCTATTCAGATTTCAAATGTAAGAATTTAATCTTGAGAAGGAAGGTAACAATCCTTTTGTCCATGAGTGCCCTGAACTGCACAATTATCAAATATTTAACAATTCCTACTCTGTTACTGTTGACTAGGGATTTTTTCCTTGACCCAGAGGCAACAGACAGTAACTAAGAAAACAAAGGGAAAAAAAAACCCTGTATTTCAGAACAGAGTTTATGATGCAATACAACTAGTTTCTATTGTGAAACAGGAATGATATATTGACAGATATTGTCTGAATATTAGAAGAAAACTAAAGAGAGTATTATGCAAAGAATGAGTACCTTCCATAGCCACAGTCTTCCATAAGCAGCTAATTTCCTTAGAGAGTTATGGAACACTCTGACCAGTTGATGCTGAGAATTGATTCATCAAGGCTATTTTCAGCATTGATGAAAACTCAAGCCTATGATGCTGAAGATTATCCAAAATGCACTATCATCAAGTGTTAAATTTTCTAAAAGACGCCATTTTTAGAGGTTTGTTTCTTCAAAGATGAGATTAAAAATTCACTATTTCTATTATTAAATTGGTTTAGAAAAGTTTGTATGAAATACAGAAATGAAGTTCCATTGTATGCAATTTATAGAGGGCATCAAAAAGGTAACATGGGATTTTCAAATTATTTCCTATTAGCTTGCAGGCTCCTGCTGTATGAACACTCATATCAACAGGAAATCCACATAAATGTGCAGGGATTATGCCCATAAAGAGTTTAAAAGAATGTCATCTGTAATCCCTTCTGTTCTCATTATCTTGAGGAAATTACAAATATATGAGACAGATTATATCTTGCTTTTATAAACTACATGTTAACAAAAGCAGATGCAGAACTCAGTTGAGATAATAATTCCTCAGAAGTAACCAGATCTAATTAGTATGGTCTGCTCAAAGATGAAAGATTTTGGGCTGCTTGCTACATTTCATTCATCACTAGAGCATCTCTTGCCTCTAGTTTAAGAGCATACAGCATTAATAAGATAAAGTTGTAACTGAAATAGGAAAGCATCTGATTTCATTTTATGCAACTACACTAACAACTGTTTCTATCTTGAAATATCATATTTACACAAATGTGAAATGTTCGTGCTACAGAGATTCTGAAACAATTATTCCAGAGGAAAAAAGAAAAATAAGGAAAAAAAAAAAAAAAAAAAGAAGAAGCTTCTTAAATGCTAAGGCCACGAGCAGCTCATGTAACCTTGTAAGTACCTGATCAGCTTTCGCAGTACCTCTCATCTTTCTCAAACAGGCAGTTAGGAGGTCAAGACAAAGACAAAATGCTGAGTCAAGTACAAATGCTTTGCTTAAGGCAAGAATTTATCACATTTTTCCAATTATATTTGGTATATAACAAGTACAGAGAAAGTATTAAAAACGAAGACTAAGAGAATATCTGAATGTTAACTACATGTAACTGCATGATATTATTTCAATTCTACCTGTACATTATTCAAATAAATGACTTGTTGTACTCACTAGGTGGGGATGTATACTTGTTTCAATTTACTTTCTGCTTCAGCTGCTTTCAGACGTTTCTAGTAGAAAAATTAACACATTAAAATATTTCATTATATTCAATTATGTAAATTCATAAAGATACACACAATCCATGTCTTAAGTATTTTTATTTTATACTGTGATTCCACAAGAGCCTCCAAAATAAATGTAGAATTCAAGATGAAAACCACGAGAAACAGGAGTTTCCTATTTTTATTATTCATTTGAAATTATAGTATATTGCCTTTCTGTAGTAAAGCCTACAGGCCTCAGCGGATTATGACAAACGTGTAAAAGCAACTACTACAATTCGTATCACAGACATATATGACATTGATGTTAACCCTTGTAGGAAAATATATAAAATCTAAATATAAATGTATTAATATAAGTATGTATAAATAAAAGTCAATATAAAATGTAAAAAAAAAAAAAATTGTGAATGTGCACACAATGAGTCAAGCAATCCAATACTTTGTGAGTGTTCCTCAAAGCTCAAGACTAAGATTTTCTAAGCAATACTCAAGTCTACTGAATGTTAGAAAGACCTAAACATTTAGTTTCTTAGATGCCATTCAAACTAGCTCAGGAACACAGCAGCAGCAAGAAAGTTATCCTGCTACCAAGAAATCCTGTGAATTTACTAAATTATGACTTACTTCATGTTTTGGTTTGCACTCAAAATATTGTGAGTTTAAGATAATGCAGTTTGGTGTGACCTTACAGGTCTACAATACACAAAAGTGTTACCCTCGACATATTTTCAACACACTTGCAACTAAAAAGAATAACAAGAATATGCCATAAAGAACTTGTGTTTCCTTCCTTACATTTCTTTTTCTGAGCAACAAGTTTTTCCCTCCCCAAGACAAACAAACCACCAAACAAAAATAAAAGCAGGGGAAGTCCTTGAGATGACACGAGTCAGTACAACAATATGTTTTTCAGCATTGGCATGAGAAATACTGAGTGCAGATGTTGTTTGTCAAGATCTTCTCTCTGTTCACTTCAATAAAAGGACAAAAGGGGTTGAACAAGCTCCATTTCACTAAAAGGAAAAGTAAAATTGAAGGACACTGATATCCAGCAATAAGTCAATGGTACCTCTCTGCTTCTCAAGATTCCCTCTTTCTTCAGCATGTGTTTAATACTCAGACCTCCATTTCTCCTACAGCAGCCAATTCTCTCCTCTACTCCCACTTTCGGTAGCCAATCTTTGCAAGATCCCCAGTCCAGGAACCCAGGAAGATATTTCCCATGTTGAGAAAACCACCATCCTCTTTGCTCTGAGGAATCTGAGACGAGTTCCTAGGCTGATAAGGTTAATGGCTGAGAAGCTGGAGCAGGCTTCCTCATGGAAACTCTTGCTCCTCTCCATTTGAGGAAGCTGCCTGTGTGCCATCCATCACTGTCCCTCTCCTGCGTAAAAACTGCTCTTTCTCTGTTTCTCTGAGGAGGATTCAAGCAGTCCTTGCCACCAAAACTCAATTCCCATGGGGTAAGAGAGGCTTTTTGCTGCTCACCTGTGTGGTTTGAGCTGCTGCACTGACCTCCCATCTCACACCAACCACACGCGGCCCAGCTCCAGGCTTGGGGCACCTCTCTGCCTTCAACAGGCCCACTGCCCAACTGCAGCCATGGGACAAATTTCTTTGCTTTTTTTCCCCAAGAGCGAGTTAAAAGAACAGCATCTGCCAGGCCTCATACACCGGCAGCTTTTCTGCTGAGAGCACTTGCTCAGCGCTTCAGCAGAACAGCCCTCAACAACAAACTCCTTCTACCTCAGAGCTTCGGGCCAAGGTTTCCACCCACAACTCGATTTATTTTTTTTTTACCCTCTTCATATTACACCTGACTACACATGTATTTGGCATTCAAAGTGAAGAAACAGGCAACGCTACAAGTTAGGAGACAACCTGCATTTCACCGAGACACTTAAGAACCTAGGCCCACTGTACAAAGAGAAATAATAAATCCCAAACCTATCATCAGAGCAAAACAACAACAAAAAAAACACAATAAGCTGAAAGAAATTATGTGGGTAGCTTTGAAGCAGTGTCAAAAATTAGAGGCACTTGCAGAAAGCTGTATGGAGGCCCTGCTCGCAGCACTGAGGCCAGTACACACATGAACTACATTTTAGCATACCTTTAATACTGGCACAGGGCCTTTACAGAATGCAATTTTTGCAAGTCCTTTCCTCCTTTATTTGTTAAAATGAATCATATACTTTCTTCTGCAAAATAATCACATAGTACTATTTTAGTATAAGCTGTATTTTTATGCACTAAAGTGGTAGTTACCATCGCTCCTTAAAAGCGACAGGAAAAGTCACTGCTTGAGTTCACCCTGGTCGATCTACTTGTCAGGAGAGGTACAGGAAGAGAAGCAAGGATGCAGAAATAAAACCATCAACAAATACCTGCAGCTCTGAAATGAAACCTGAGTCTACTGGAATTTGAAGAATGAAAATTGGCTAATCTGAAACATTCAGAGAAAACATAAAACATGAGAACTGATTATGCAGAGAGTTTAAATTTGGTAGTGAAAGCTCCTCAGTACCATGGGAAAAGGCTGGGGGTTGAAGCTAGGCCAACTGAGACAAGAAACAAAACTCCACTTTGCAACAGTAAGCATTATTACTCACTGAAGCAATTTAACCAGGAGAAATGATGTTTCTGAAAGGCTACATCTGATTTTAAATACCAACTATTTCAAAGTCTTACAAGGAAGTATTATACTTACAAGGAAATATTATAGAAGATGTCAAGCTAAATAATCTCAGCTTTTCATTCAGCCTGCACAGCTTTTACTCAGCTACTCTGAGTAGGGAAAATTGAATGGTATCTCTTCACTAGAGAGCATTTGTCCTGATTATCAGCTGACAAATATCACAAGAAATAAGCATTTTCCTACGTAAGTAATGTTTTCAACAGCGAAAATAAACAGGAAAGAAATGTAATATATTGTGGTCGTACAGGACTTTGAAGTCAGCTGTTCTCTGGTCTAATGAATGAACTTGTAGTAGTTTTGCACAGTGAATCCTCTGTTTGCACATACTCTCCTTTTTCTGCTGAAAAACCCCTGTAAAAGATTGTTGCATTGAACTCTCTTTTAAAGCAGAAAGCTATGAAAGGTAGTGGTCATGAAAAGTGCCTGATTGCCAAGAATCGACACTGAATGCCAGAATTAATTTTGCTAGAGAGGTTCAGTACAGACAGAAAAAATGTACATTTCCTTCCACTTTCCCCTTACAATTTCCCTTCACCTAGACTTCAAGTGGCTGCTGCCAAGCTCTGAGGGCAAGGCGGCAGCAGCATCTCCATCCCCATTAAAACATCACCTTTAATCACCCAGCAAGAGTACCACTTAGGGACAATTATGGCACTGAAGTCTACCCTATACGCAGCCAATTCACATGACAAAATAAGCAGATAATTAAATAGAAAGTTTTAATATTAAGTCACGTTGATCTAAAACACAAAGACTGCATTTTGTGCATGAATAAGATTCAAGTATGTACATCAACATTTTCTTTTCCTGTTCTCCCAAGCTGTCCTACCTCTCAGGCATGACATTTAGAGAAGAATGACTCTGAAATTGCCACTCTTTCACTGAACATATATTCTCCCAGTATGCATTCAATCATCACAGCTTGTTCTGGTATGAAAAAAAAAAATCATAGATACTATCTTTACTGAACTGTATTATTTTTGCTATTCCAGAACAAACTAAACAACGGCAGGACAAAATTCTGACCTGTTGTGGTAGGAGGGATTATAGAAATGTTGAGAAAGAGATAAATGAACTAATTCTGCCTATAGTATTTTTATTATTGCTGATGATGAATGACCCTGAAAGAACACCCCAACAGTATTTAGGGTTTAATGCCATGTTGGGAATTAGGATGTTACGAGTTTACTTAAGGATAAGCAAAAATAGACACTTATGTCTGTAAGAGTATTCAAGTTCTGGGTAACTGTAAGGCACTTCGTAGGATTTCTAGATGATCTTTTCGTATCTGAAGTTAAATATCTAATTCTGCAGAGGGACCCAAACTCAACAGAAGGCTAGACACTGCCTGCTGTGTCTACAGAGTTGTAATGAAGCCCCAGAGCAAGCTTCCAGAGCAAGTATTTCAGGGAAAAAATAAAAACAATCAAAAAAAGTAGGAAAACAGAGATCAGTCTCTGAGCAACCTAAACAGGCTGGCAGGTCAATTTTCAATTCAATTTTATCTTTACTGCAAGGCTTTCAGGTATCTGCCTCTGATCTTTGAAGATCCTCCATTGCTCTCTTAAGAGCAACTCTTAAGCTAAAAACCTGCAGAGCAAATGCCTGCTGGCAATACCTTCTTAAAACAGAGAGTAATCATGCCAAAGAAGTGCTAAAAAAGTCAAACGAATGGAGACCTACTGAAAATACATTCTTTAATACACAGCAGAACTATCTTTTATTTGTTTTACTTCAGCACTAAAAGGTCCTTCTCATAATTAAGACTCTACTCTGCAGCACAAGACTTTTTACACCCTAACAAAGAGATTCAGACACACTTTCCAAAAAACCAAAGAAAAAGAACAAGCTGAGGCAATCACCCTGCTTCACTGCACACATTGCAACTACATACATAACAATTGTGAAAATAATTGTAAAAATCAGACATAGAGCTGAAATCACAATGTAATATTTACTTTAAATATCCAGTCATTCTGTATTACTAGCTGTAAGGCAGAAAGTAGATACCAACTTAAGTGTCAAATCATAATGTTAATGGAGATTTTTTTTTTCCAGGTGGGAATATTTAAAATCCTTTGAGATCTAAATCACGGAGTATTACAACACGGAGTACAATACATCAAAAGCACTAATACTCAAGTTTTGCTTAAATCTGCTTCCAAGACCCCAGCGTAGGCACCCAGCGTGTTCTTATCCCGGCTGTGCTGCACGGGGACGAGAGCAGCTGAACACTTGCTCAGAATGACACCGTGATCACTTTGCACACAATGTTCTCAACTTTTGCTTTCAAATCCTGATAAAACCAAATTAACTTCTTATCATGGTCTGCCAAGAAAAGGTTCATAACATTAGGAACTATCTTTAACAGAACATATTTCTCCTTTCCTTCAATCCCATGTACAATTTAAGAGCTTAATGTGTTTGCTCTTCAGCCTACCTCCTTCCTATTCATATCAAGAAACTGGAATTGTGTTGCTATAGATTAGCTCTTTGCAGGCAGCTGATCAACTTGAGGCACCTGAGGATTTGGCAACGTATCCTGTGGACACACAAAACTGTTGCTCTGTAGGCAAGAGCATTAACGTACTAGGCGTAGGTGCGAGCCTACGCCTCGCACATCATGTCTTGACGACGACCACAAATTAATTTTTATTCTTTAATCATTTTTTTCCCTTCATTTTTAAGAATGACAGACTTGTTCATGTTGAAATAAATATTAAATTACCTGTTGCACATATCTGTCAGTGGTTTTCCACATGTAATAATACTCAATGATGCTAGTCAGTGACTTCCAAGGGAGCTGAAAAACATTTTATACAAATTAAAGGGGTTCCATGAAATTGCAAAGTCCACATGTTATTAAACATATATTAAAAACTCATACATATGATACATAAATATTAGAATGTATATGCATTAAATTCCTTTATTAAGATTTACTTCTAAGAATAGAGAAACCTTCTTTACAGATAACATGCTGGATTAAGGCGATATTATATGCAGGAATTATTGTTTGGATTTGGATATGTAAATCTTATGCCTCAACTAAATGATATCTCATGTAATCGGAAACATAGAAAGCATCTCTATTATAAAACATATCAGATGGAGAACAACATTCAGGACTAAAATAAATCAACTTGACAAGAATGTGTTGGAGTCTCATGACAATTTTACGCTTAAAAATACATTAGTCACAGCACTTAATTCACAAGTTCTTCAAGTCCCATAAAAACTAAATGGCTCATATAACATAGCTGATCTTCCATAAACTTTTGGAACTTTTTTTTTTTTATTACTACTAGTATAAATAATGTGGTCTGTGAGTTTGTGTGCACATATTCATTGGAAAAGCAAAGACGTGTAAGCCTAAGCTCAGGGGAGAAAATGAGCCATAAAGCAGCCATTTGTAATTGTTATAGAATTACCTAATCCATTGCATGAATTATCTCAACCATTTAAATTACTTATTCTCTCACAGAAATCATGCAATTTTTCTTCATAGTTTGAAAACATGCGACTATTTCACAGCTAGTACTTTTCAGAAGCATGCATTAAGACCAGTACATTTTTTTGCTTTCCAGAGTTAAAGTTGGGAAGTCCCAGAAATCCAGATGTGGAAACTTATCTTTCCAACCCTGTGGACTCCACTCTGGGGCTTTTTGTGCGCCCCAAGCCAAAGGGCAGGGCAGGCTCCGGAGCCCTTTAGCACCAGAAGAACCAGCTGCCTCTCCCTGCATGCAGGAGCCCATGGGCTGTTCCTGCTCGTTTGGCAGGCTTAGCAGAACTGAGATTTTCTTCAACCTCTGCCTTTCCAGAGCTGGGATGCATCCTGGAGCTGGGATGCAGATCCAGGTTCACCTGTTTACTTCTGAGGTAACACACCACAGTGGTTAAAACTTTGGTCTAAACCAGAGCAGCTTTGTCCGTTTGCATTTAATCTAACTTAACCTATTCCTATTTCCTATTAACACATTAAATACCATGAATATATGCTGCATCTCCAGAAAATACTGGTTAATACTTTTATTAATGGTTTTATTACTGGTTAAGATTTTCATTAATACTTTTTAAAATTAATTTTGGCTGTGACAATAGCAACAGTCCATAGGCAATTGCAGTCAATTACAGAAATTTAAGGTGCTTTGATTAGATAACCCTCATCCTTTTAGAATTTGATTTGCAACTCAGAAATTGTGTTTACTTGACTATGAATATTCTATATTCTAAGTATCTAGCTACACTCCTAAATGATAAACCCTTGTAAAGGCACAGGAATTTTCCAGAGGCTGCTCTTAATGGCCACAGAAGCTGGAAACAGCCACAGAATAATGTGCTCTCATTATCAATTCTGTTAAACACAAGCTGAAAAGAATACAAAGGACATGGTATCCATGTCATGGCATTTTGTAGGAGGAAGCTAACAACAAGGTATCAGCCACAGATAGCCACAAAGTGGCAATTTTCAATCTCAATCATTTCTGTAAGGTAAAAATGGAGCATTCAGGTTTGTCTAGTATGAAAAACTTAGGATTTAAAAGCGTTTAAAAATGTGCATAAGTTAACTTTAAAACATGTTTCCATCGTTTTCTGAAGTTGGAATCTTGCTCCTGTTTTATTTATGTGACGTGTGCCCAATTCCCAAGGCCCTTCCAGCCATATCTGCTATGTGAAAGCTAGAAATCTCTGAAAAAGAGTGATAATGAAAAACTAACAATTTAACAAGTAATACAGAAGACACCACAACAATTGTCCCTAAGACTGAGGAAAACAGTTCCCTTTAGAGCACATAAAATATTCACTCTTTCCATTCTATTATCCTGGAATGTGAAGTAACTCAAGTCAATCCAATTAACTTTCAAAGTTAAGGTTCATTAGGATTTACATAGGTTCTCACCTCAGTAAATGGGATTCTATAGCAGTTGATGAGTCAACAGCAGATGAAAACGAATGTTCAAAGGCTGGACTGTAATTTGATAATATGCAAGCTTCTCCTGTCTATTAAGAAAGGTAAACTCCTTTACACCATTTAATTTATGGTAATTATCTTGCTAACTAATATTTAATGTTTATACCTCAGTGCTTGAGTTGCACTTTGAACGCCAAATAGTGCCAGTTATTATCAGTTGCAGGAAAAGTAAATGAACATGCCCTTTAGGGAACAGTAATGTAAGGGCTGTGATCGCTGTTCGTGCATTTTGCAAATCCAGGCTCCTTCTGAAAGGGCAGTTCTTGTAACCCCGTGACTCAGGTGGGTGCTACACAGATCTTCTGCTTTAACTTATCATCACCAACCACCCCGTCACACGCACAAAAACCCACCTGTGCTTTGGCACTGTCATGCTACCTGCTCAGATTCAAACTTCAGCTCTGATGCTGATGTGTTTTTATCTCTTAATCAAAAGATATGCATCCAAAGAGTGTTTAGTGAGGTTAATGTTATGGACGTGCTACTAGCAAAATGGCTGTTTTTACAATAAATATAATAGTAACTTCCTTTTCAGTGACTAGCCAGTGAAAAGGAGGATTAGAGCATATCGCATTTACTAAAGGATAAAAGTATTCTCACAGGTAACTGTAATTTAAGTTCTATAAATTCACACCCACTTCACCTTGCAGGAACTTGTTCACACAGGGATGATCCAAATCTCAAACGGGTTCTTTTAAATGATTACTTTTAGCTACATGTTTGCCCTTAAAGCTCTATACCTTTAGACCCATAGACCTAGCTCTAGACCTTTAGTTCCATAACAAGTGGGAATACATAGAATACACTCGTACACTTATATTTTCTTGATCTAAAGCAGAGCTACCCATGAAGCAATTGTCACACTTATGTATATATTGAACATTTTCGGCCTTAGGAATCAGAACGAAGCATACAGATATGACATCTGTTAAAAATGTCAGTTCTTCAGAAAAATAGCAGCCTTCACTCAATTATTTATCTATTTCATTTTAGAATTACCAAAGCAAAGGTATCTACCATCAACCCTCAATGCTAAACTTCTTCCCAGTATCCTATGTGCCTTTTTGGGAAGGACTTCCCCAGTCCTACATCAGGCACCTGTATCATACAGCTTCTAAATCAGTGTAATTTTCTTCCCAAAGTCTGAACACCACCAGCCAGTGCTAATGCAACATGGACTGCAATTTGCAAAGAAGCTGAATTTTCAGAGGCCAGCAAAAAAATCTTCACAAAAACCTGTACACTATAAGCCTATTTCATTAAGAGAAAAGAAGACTCTGCAGAAAGCAACAAAAATCACTAACAAATTGCTGAAAATGCCAGCAACAGGTGATTAAAATTCAATTTCATTACTTTGCATTAGATTTCAGCAAATTAAAGCTTTGCAAAGTCTGATATTTCAGAATCAGCATGGTTAAAAGATATTCTAAAACATCTCTTTTAATTTTCAGAAGTGCCTCGATAACGAATGTGTCAAAATAACTCCCTGAGTGCACTTTAAAAGCTATCTGAATAGGGATTTCTCTCAGTTAATCATAGAAGGAAACCCCGGAGTTTCCACAAGCACTCAAGGGAGCGAGCTGTGTAACTGATAACGAGTATCAATGGAGCTCATGGAAAAGTTCTGAAAAGTTTCCGTAATTTCAGAATCTTCTACGAATTTAGCACACTAGACACCCTATCACCAGATTATCTTCTGCCAACATCTTTCCAAAGAATGGCACCGGACAAAAAAAAAAATTCATTTTCATCTGAATTATGTACATGTTTGTATATATGTGTGGATATATACATATCTATATGCATGTACATAACTGTTAGTTACATATATCATATGCATTGATTTCTCCTCCAGTCTTTCCAACCCACAGAGCACGATGATGCTCATGCATCCAAAAACCCCTGCAGCCCGGTACTTACAAAGTCTTGTCGAATGTCATTGAAGTCCTTCCCGTACTTCTCCAGGGCTTCTTCAAATAGACTGGCTTCTGATGCTGACCACTCTTCCATTTCATCTCGACACAGAACAGGCCCCCCGAGCGGCACAAGGACGCTGATGGCGCTGCTCAAGTCGTAGTTGTGCTTGTGCAAGGTATCCATTGCATGAAACTAGCACAGGGAAGGGCACAGCAGGAAAACTTGTTGAATCAGAGAGCAGCCAATTGCAATCAGTGCAAAGGCAATGAACTATTTGCTACATGCCGTGCAACAAGCCTTAACTAATGCTAGTCTCAGAATCTATCCTGATGTGATACATTTGCTGTAGTGAAATGTAAGGAAAATCTATATTTTTCTATTACTTAAATTAGGAAAAAAAGTGCTTTAACAAAATATTTATCTAAAATGACAACAATTAATTAGCTCCTGCAAATTATTAGCAAATATTTCTAGAGACGCTTTAGTTGGTAGGTTGCAAGTAAATGGCATACTGTCTGATGAGGTGCTGAAGAGACATTTTCAATTAATAACAGCTCTAAACAGTAGCTAAATATGCATACATCTAGGCACTCGGTATCTTCATCGTTGGGGAAGGAAACCATCATTTACTCTTATTTACTCTATTGACTATCATCTCACTTAGACACAAACAAGGCTTTTGCCCTTGCCAAACACTGTTTCTGTAGATGACTAACAAAGTTGCTCTGTTTTTTGTTATTTTTTTTTAGTAAAAATAAAAGAAAATGGCAAACAAGCAGGTCATGCATTCTTCATTCACCCCGTTTACAGCTATCTCTGAACACTGACACCAGCAAATGATAGGGAATGTGAAAAGCAAGTAGGTAGACCATACACAGGGGAGATGAGCAGCACCAAAGAGCTTTCTGATCCGGCACCCCACAAAGCCCCTATTAGAGAGCCTTAAATTGTGGTGCTGAAGGAGATATTCGTAGTATGAAGCACAACCTGCCTGTAAAGTACACAGCTGTGTAACATCAGGCTCTGACCTGTCTGGTCAAACTGCCAGGGTAGGAATGATCTTGCACTCTGTGTCACTGTAGAGCTTACTGAGCGATTCCAGTGGAGTTTCTGGATACAAGTGCACTGCAAATAATACATCCTCCTAATCTACTGCTCTCTCCTAGGAGTGGCTAAGGTCTTTCTTCAGCCTTCAATATATCTCTGGGAGAGCTACCAAGAACAGGATCTGAACCATTTCACCTGCAAGAAGTAACGCTGCCTTTATCCTACAGTGGGTCATTTTACACGGGGTTCGAGTTAGGTGGATGAGCCCTGAGAAAGAACCATTCTTAAAGAGAAATTCTAACATGGAGATACTACGTAATGATGCCTAAAATACATAATCTTCAGATTAGGGAACATAAAATACATGACTGGTTTATTACTTATCAGCTAGTCCATGAGCAAACCAGGCCTAAAGATCAAACAACATATGCATTACCATGGTTTAAATCTCACCACTTGTGGAGGGAAAAAAAAGAAAAAGCAAGCACTGAGCATCCTCCAAGCAGCTGTTAACTTCAGACCTATGCAGAATACCACTGATAAACAATTTTCTTAAAAAACACAAACAGAAGCAAATAAATCAGGATCATGCTCTTGCTTTACATTCATTTTGGCATCTACAATAAAAATCAACTCCCGTAAGTCCTCTTTTGTTATGCAGAAAGCGACACATGGAAGCGACTCAGTCGATGACCCTGCTGCCTTTGCTCGGCCCTCTGCGGCAGGAGGTCGCTGGCAGCTCCTGCAACAACCACCGTGGCTTTCCGCACGTTTCTCAGCCCCCACGTTCAGATCCCCACACTGCAGCACATAAACTCTACTGGCAAAAGGAAGGGCAGCCTGAAGACAGAACTGGAGCCCCAGATGAAAAGTCCTGGAGGACGTCCTGTTTTATTTGCTTTTCCCAAAGACCTGAGGACCACAAGTCCATGCAAGTGGTGCATGAGGAGCAGCTGGGAGGAGCTGTCAGAGCTCCAAAGTGGATCCCGGAGAATGACCCTTCCCTAAGGGAGCCTGCCCAGAGCCTCCCTGTGCCAGCAGGAAGGGATTAGCCCAGGTGGCAGGGAGAACTTAACTGGGAGCTTAAGCAGGTGGGAAGGCAGCACACACCTGGGCAGTAGCCATTTCAGCAGCCTGGATACTATAATAGTATTTTAAACAAGTTTACAGCAGGGCCTACCTATACAGAACTCTTATGCAACTCGTCAGAAAGTTTTGCTATATGAAATTCCAAGGACTCTTGAATCAAAATATTGTTTATTTTCAAGAGACACCAGGGAATAAAACTGCCTTCCTTCGTGTAAAGTAGCAGGGGCTCTTCAGAAGGAGGCCACTGTGAGGAGACTGACAGTGACAGAGGAGGCTGCCTGCTCTGGTTGGTGCCTCTTGCCAATGCACACACTGCGTGGCACGTAGGAATCCAAGACAATAAGTCTTTCCAGTTCTTTTCCTTATCCAGTTTCCTTATAAAATGGGTCATTGGCTCTGAGAAGACAAGAAATCTGTTTCAGGAAGCTGTAGGTCTCTCAAATGTTTAGCGTTGTAAGAGGAAAAGAGCATGAAATCCTACATGGCTTTGAGATGTTATGGCCACTTCTACCATCTAAGAAGGAAGCCCACGTGGTTTCACACCCTTCAGGAGGATATTCCAAAGGACTCAGCAGTTTCCTGTCTTGTCTCCTATCTCTGAGATAAGGAAATCTGATAGTAACCTCCTTGCTTAGGCTTAGCGTGAACATTCACTTTCAATTTACCCATGTTTATACCCCGTGCACTTTTTTGTATTAGTCTGTTTGCAGTTACCTACCTGAACAAGCACCGTTCCTAGTGTTACATTAATGAAACACACCCCGCCTGCAAATTTCTGTAAAGTGCTGCTCAAAATATCCTCCCAATTAACAATTACGTGAAAGAAAAACTACTATAAAGACAAATAGGCCTTAACTTAGGAGGAAGTACATTTCTAAGGAGCAAAAGGATTTAAAAAGCTGAGGGGGCAGGAAAATGAGAAAGAACAGACGCAATAATTAAACCTGGGGCGGCTCCTCTGGTGCCTCATTTTCAGATGTGCCTTTCATTAGGTGTAATGGAACTTAATGGATCATTTGCAAGGGAGAAACATTTATACGGCACTCAAACACTAAACGTGTCCCTTTATTAGCAGCACTGCACACACACTTTCAAACAAAAAGAAACTGCTGTAGAGATAAATCGATTACATTAATTGCTGAATACTGTAAGACAGACATGCATTCCATGGGAATTATTAGAGATTTTCAATCTAATGAATTTTTAATAAAATGAAAAATGTTAATCCAGAGAACTATTTAGATGGGGAAAAAAGTATAAAATATTTAATGTGAATGCAATCATGTCACTAAGGTCATATCAAAAGAGAATAAGCATATTTTCAACACAAAAAAAAATATCTCGAGTATTACTGAAAACGTTACATTTGCCACTGCCTTTATCACCCTACAGCAGTCCAGGCCACTGTCAGTCCCCGAGTCAGTTTCCTGTTTAAGAGCCCAGATATGCTCTGTAAAGTGCCACAAGTTAAATATCTTTCTCATCATACTAATGAATATATTTCACCCAAATTACAAAATTTGCCCTGGTGGGTCAGATCAGCGACCCCAGGCAAACGTTCTGCCTTCGCCAGCTGCACCAGGAACTGTCACTGCGAGAGGACATGCAAGTCTCATCGCATCCCGAGGTTTGTTCCCGCTTCATTCCCAGCAACCACCACCCTCGGGAGGTGGGAACAACCTCACAGTAACCCCTGCCCATGCTCACGGGTAACCAGTCACGGACCTGTTGCCCAGAACGTTTCTAACCCCCTTTTTAACCAGCTGATATTGTCAGTCTTTACAGCACTCAATTCCAGAATTCCCTTCAATTCTCTACTCATCGAGTAAAGCAGTATTTTACCAATTTTAATCTGATCTGTTAGCTTCATCCAATGCCCTCTAGCTTTATAACTCGTAATATTTGTAATACTTGTAATATTCGATGAGCTCCATGTGACCCTTCACTATTATATAATTTTGTATAGAACTCTTAAAATAACACGCTCCTTTCTCAGGTAAGGCAAAATCAAATTGGATTCTATCAAACACTAAGACCTTGCTCTCGCATATTTTTTCACAGCTTTTCCTTTGCTCTGTAACATACATATATATACATACACATATACACACACACATATATATAAAATATATAAAAATACAGGTATATATATGTGTACTTTAACTTTGTCTGGAAGATACAGTCATTAATGTAATTAATATTTCAACATCCTAAGGAAACACCCTAGGTACTCTTCCAAAAGTTGCTTATAAAGTCTGAAGGTTTATACTCCTTACAAAATCTACAGACTCACAAGTATTTATATTATGACATTACCTAGAGAATGCTCAGGGTTATTCCAATACAATTTAAATCACACTATTGATCAATTGTATTGAGCGAAACTTCATGCAACATATATTATCCACTGCACACCACTGCTGTGCAAATTGTCACATTTGAGCACATTAAAAGTACATTTCTATTGAAGTCAATTGATTTACAGTATGATCCCAAAGGGCAGCATTAACACTCTTATAAAAAACCCAAAGGATTATCTCCCATATAAATAGATATCCTGCAAGCAGGTATCCAGGGGAAAGCAGACTTCTGGAGAACAGAGATTATGGAGTAGCAGATTTTATTGAATTCCAAGATTAAAAAAAAAAAAACAACAAAAACTTCACAGGGATTTTAACAAGCCACTCACCAATGTGATGTCTCGGGAAGCAGCAGCCGCACTCATGTGTAAACTAGGTTGCCTGACAGAGCTACTGCAGTCCAGTGCTCGAGCAAAGGTACCAACCGCGCTACGACAGAGACACAGTAGACAGTGAATGCACAGGAAGTTTAACCTCTTCTTTTTCTTTCCATTTTTCATTTATTTATTTTTTTTAAATCAGACTCTGTTATGTCTTTTAGAGCATACTTTTAAAATAAAAGGCACATATAATTCCAAGGTTTCAGCACCTTGCTAATAAAGGGTGATTTATTTAAAAACAAATCAACAAGCATCCCTCCCCAAGGAAAAATATTCTGCTTAAGAGGCCACTTGCTTGAAAAGGCATGAAAAGATACCCACAGAATTCTAACGCACCAATTTTGAATTTATTAAGAAGTCAAAGACGCCAGTCTTTGCTTTTTTCTAACTATAATTACTATAATTAAATATAAAAGCCTAAATACTTTTAAACAAATTTAAATTTCTAAATGAGTCAGCGAAAAAAAAAAAAAAACCAAAAGGACTGTCATGGTCCTCAACTGACTTCATTATTGGAATTACAGGTAAATAAGATGGGAATTACCAAAGCGAGTCAGATGTTAGTAATCTCCTATCTACTGCTTGTGCTAGTAAGGCAATTAATGCATGCTGACTATGACTACCTCCAAACTGTATTTTTGTCTCAAGTTTTAAGTAGTAATAAACTAAATAAGTCTCTCAACACACACAATAAAAAGCAGTTAAACCTTATTGAAATGTACCAGTTTTTCCCAGAATTTTACTACTTTTTTTTTTTTTTTTTGATTAATGGATTGTACGTGGCATTAATGAGGTTTCAAAGACAACCACAGCAACAAAAGACAAGGCCTAAGGATGGAGGATGAGTGTGATAGTAACTGTTCTAGTTTGCAAACTGTGTCTGGAAATGCAGCTATCAAATAACAGGTACTGTAAAGGGAAGGGTGAATAAGCAAGTTTTACATACATACAACATAGGACAAATCAATAAAGATGCAGTGAAATATGAGAAAGATTACAAGTCAATAAAGCAGGTGCTGCTCCAGGATCCCAAATCAGATAATGACTCTTGCAATATATTAAGTCAATACGATACTAGAAAAAAAAGTGTTTGTTGCAGTTATGACATGATGCAACTCCCTCTAAACTCAAGGACATAATCACACCAGGTAATATTTAAGATCACTGCAAACCTTTTGACTAAGGAACGAAGCTTCGCTCAGCAATTACCCTCCACGCAAGGTATCAGTGTGGAATTATGCCAGTTAGGACTGTCACTGACACTGAGTGACAGGCTAAAAGTCTCATGTCAATGCATGCCATAGCTTCTGCACTCAATGATAAAATAATGTAAGGTTCATCAAGAGTTTTATTTGGTAAGGTGTACTTCTGATCCTGAAGAAACCAGTAACTTATAAACGTTATAACAATTTTATCTTGCATCTCAAAACGTTTAATAATTCAAATTCTCTGCCAAAACTTAAGACAGAGGTAAGATTAAACAGCAGTGATTCACACTCTAGCTATTATCCATGTACGTTTCTGAAGGCTGTAGAAAAAATAAATTATATTCTACAACCTTTGCTCCTTCTTCACAGAGATGGCAAATATACAACAAATATGAACAAGTATGTGATAAAAAAAAATCAAGTTTGGCAGCATATAAAACCATGTGTGTCCACAAACCAGTCCTAAGAATAAGACTGTATTGTGACCACACTTCCTGATAGTCAGTCAACCCCTCTAGACATGTTGGCATTGATGAAGGTTGTGACTGAACAGTCTTTCCTGTAATCCTTCTGTTCCTACCATTCCAACCAGTAAAGCAGCATGCAGCACGACTGTATCTGCCTTCTGCTGCCCAACTTTGCTAAATACCAAATTCTGACCATATTTCTAAAGTAAAAATCAGGGTAGAGCGTAGAATTTGCAAATAACACGTCCTCACAGACCACTCACTAACACATCAAGCTGCCTTCAGACTTTCCAGGAAGATGTGAGTTAGGTTGGTTAGTAAGTCAATATTAAAGCATAATGTAAAGCTAGATTTACTTTGAATAAGTGACAAAGAGGCAAGAATTGATGTGCTAGTTGGCATTACTACCAAGGTTATATTTGAGTAGAGAAGGACCATAACAATCTCTGAAAGACTGCTTGGGAACACCATGAAATACAGTTTTTTTTTTAACAGGGTAGAGAATCTGAGGTGCCATCTCGAAAGCAACTCAGTCTCCAGGTCAGCTTTGGGACAGTGAGTTTTTCAGACAACCCACACAAGCACAAGAATCTTACAGCACTTTGCTCTTAAATGGTAACCTAGGCTCAAATCTTAACCGTGATCATTAGGTGCTCTGTATAATCCAGCCAATATGATGAAAATCCCAAATTTAAATGCTAATTTTAGTATGAAAAACTTGAATATTATGTTTTTAATTAAAAATACAGATACAAGGTACATACTAATATAAAGCTCAAAAGCTCATTTCATTTGTGATTTTGCTTGCATTATTTTTTCCAGTAATACAGACCAATGATGATTTTTAAACTTAAAAAAAGTAAAAAAAAAATTAAAAAAAAATCAATGCCCATTTCCAGAAAGTGTACGACTATCTCCATCTACCTGCTAGCAAATTTAAATTATAAAATTTTCCAGGCTACTCATGCAAAACAGACTAAACACTAAGACCCTAACTATTCCTTTATTTTTATTTTTTTTTTTAAGATTAATGCTCCATAAATTGACAGAATTCAAAGAACAACTAAAAACACTTAAAGAGAACTCAGTTTAATTAAAAATAACAATAATAAACTAATTTCATAAAAAAACTGAGTTCAGCAAGTTAGTTACAGATTAGTTAGTCAATAAGTAATTAAAAGTATTTGAAACTTCAAGGTGACTTCAGACAGAAGCAACCACCTCCCACACCACCCAACCAAGCTAAGCTAGCTGACCTGGGCCAAAAAGCTTGCAGAAAGCAAATTACACAGGCGGCAGTGAGATGGACAAGAATGAAAACTCATTGCTGGTATCAATGGAGATCATTCTTTGCACAGATTCTTTAAGCAAGGAGGCATAAGAGCTCTAAGAGCTAGACAAAATGATCCCGTGTTATCTTACTTATGTAACTGTAATCTTATTTTAATTATTTTAAACATTTGAACCAAGAAAGTTCTCTGCAGGCCTCATTACAGGGGTTAGAACTGACAAACTCAGAGCAAAACAAAATAAACTGGGACCAGAAATAAAGACCGTGGAATAAATCCACAAATTCTGTGAAACTGAACAATAACTACATGGAAAAAACAAACAAGCAAACAGCCCCCAGAACCTGATAGTGAACTGCCTAGGGATGAAACAGGTCACTTTTTGGCCACTGATCCAGAAGGGCTCCAGAGGCCTGGCCTGCACAAGCCTCCCTTGCACAGCCACGGTCCTAAACAAGGCAAGTGATGGGCACCACTCAACTGATTTTATCATTACATTTTGTACAACTGTCAAACAGTTTTACAAGCTTCAGGAAATAAATGTGGACTTATGAAGGTGATAAAAAACATGTGTCAAATACTCCATGTATCATTATTTTATCATGCCTCAACGCCTTGGATTCAGACAAAGCTTTAGATCAGATATTTTACAGCACTGATACATTGCTTCAAATTTCTGTTAACTCAAATCTGTATCATTCAAAATATGACAGATAAATATAGGTGCATTTAAAAATTTATGTTGGGATAACCGTCCTGCATAATAGGGAGTAATTTGTCTTAGTTTAGGGTTTATCCAGCTTTTGGAAGCCTGGGAGAATGTGAGCAGAGCGGGTGACAGAGGTTAGCATTGCTGGCTGGCTGGAGACAGGATCTTGTTACTGATGGGAAGCAGGTCAAGAGTACGGGGGCAGGATGAAAACTCCAAAAAGAAGAAAAAAATCATAGCTGTGTCTTAAATACTTCTGAAAAGACAATGAAGTCAAAGAAATGAAGTAATCCAGAAAGAAAACAACAACAGCCTGGATGAAAGTTGTGGCTGTGGCCATACTGGACGAGGAATTTTAAAGGCATTATATAGAAAGAGCTGGCAGGATTTATTTAAAGCCTGTATTAAGACTTAGCCATTTGAGTAAGAATATGCCAGTGCAAAGATCTGCAGTGATGTCCAAGATGAACAAAGAGTGCAGGTTATCAACTCGTATCACAGGAAATTTGGCAACGTTGTTGCTCCTCAGATATTCCTGAAATTATTAAAACCGTTTCTTCTCTGCTTCTCTGTGCACAAAGCAACAGTGAACAACGGCACTTTTAAAGAAAAAAAAGAGATAAAATGACTGTATAAAACGTAATACTATGCACAAACAGCTTCTACAAGAAACACTGTCATTTTTGAAACATTTCTATAAGAAGATCTGAGAAAAATTTTGAGAAAGTAATTTCCTGACAGGATCCATTTGAAGAAAAAAAACATTAAAGTTATTACTGTGAGGTTCTTGTCCTGCAAAAACTGACTTTCTCCTATGTCCAAGATGAGCTACAATCACGCTTACATGGCAAATAGAAAAAAAGGACTCTTAAGAAAGAAAGAAAAAAAAAACACCAAAAAAGAGGGGGGGGGAAGTTAAAAAAAAAAAAAAAATCAAGCAAGTGAAGGCCTTTCACCAAAAACTCAGAGAAAAAAAGATCTAAAGCATATTAAAATTAATCACAAAGAATTGTACCATACTCTGGATGACAGAGTGGCAAGGGAAGTCCAATGTTACCAAGTGAACACTGTGAAAATACCCAACTCTGTGTGTACACACACAAAGTGAAATGTTACTTGAGCTTATTCTGTAAGAAAATGTATGATTTCCTATAGACAGTATACTGAAAACCTGAGCTCAGTACTTTGTAAATCATAGGAAAATATATATATATATTTATTTATTTAGAGATTACCAGAAAAGGAATAGAAAAACAAAACACTTGTTTGTGGAGAACATTTTTAGTTACTATATAAACCTACATTGCATCCACATTTGTTACTTGTTGATGGTTTTGGTCTCCATCTGAAAATTCATTTATCACTACAAGAAAATACAGAGAGGACACTAGCAGAGGATGGCCAGTAGCAGAGAACAGTTCCCAGATGAACATACATTAAAGAGATGAATTTTCAGTTGGGAAAGGATGATGAATCCACATGGATTTCCTAATCAACCCCAACAATAACATTCAATAAGCTCTGGGGCCAGTTCTGGGCTCCCCAGTACAAGAGACATGAACTTAATGGCGGCTCAGGGCCACTGAGATGATTAACGTGCCCAAGAATCTGTCATACGAGGAGAGGCTGAGAGAGCTGGGACTGCTCGTTCTGGGGAAGGCTCAGGGGGGTCTTTTCAGTGTCATTTTGATGGGAGAGAGTAAAGATGGGCACAGACTTTCTCACTGGTATCCAGAGGATGGACAAGATGCAGTGAGCACAAATACAGGAGTTCCACTTCTGCTGCAGAAAATGAATGTGTTGCTATTTCCACAGGCAGCAAGAGCAAGATCCAGCAACACCTGCTGGATCCAGGCTGCTAAAGCTCTTCTACCTCGCACTCTTAGCAAGCCAGGTGACACAACGGTCTTATATAATCTGAATGCATCTGTCTTCAAACCATTCACTTTCATGCACTGTTTGTCTCTTTTGGAAATACAGCATGGAGAGTGGGTATGCGTTCTACAATTTTTTTAGAACAGACCACCTCTGGGTGCATGTGCCTGTGGACAAACACGACTTTGGAAAATTGACAAATTTCCTCTAATGAACTAGACCTATGTCTTACCACAGAGTTAAAATTTCTAAGCAAAATAATTTCAGTTAGGTGGATTTTTGGTGATTTCTATATGTAGGAAAACTTTCTTTGTTTTCCTTATTATCACATTAACGTTTCCCTTCATTATGTGTTGAAAATGGAGACCTCTTAGATTGGCATCAACAACAGCATCTTCAAGTCAATATCTAATCTTTCCTTAATGGAGTCTCATGCTATTTAATGCTTAAAAAGAAGAAAACATATGTTTAAAATTAAGTACATGCTACTAGCAGAATATTAACGATGAAAAATACCCACGGATTTTACTGCTGAATAATGTAAACATGACATGAGGCATAGAGTGATTGTAAAATGATGCTGTTGCAGAGCACTTCTAAGCAACTGCTTGTTCAGTGCTGTGCTTCATGATGCTCACTCCAGAAGTCTGGAGCGCCTGGCATGGTGAACATGACAAGTGACCTGCCCTTGTTCTTGCTCTGAAAGTCTCTCAAAGTTGGGGTGGGAGAGGAAACATTCTGCTAAACAATACCCCCTATTCATTACAACTTGCATTGCTAAAGGAATAAAAAGGGAATATATGTGAAATATAGGGGAATAAATAGTCAGTAGAAAAAAAAAGAAAAGGAAATTTTTTTATTAGAGGATTTTAATCTTACCGTGCTACAACTAAAAACTGGTCAATCTGACGGTCAGTAAGGGGGCTATCTGGATCCCATACTTTTACTTCCAGCTTTGCCTGTTCTCTGTCATCTAATTCTCCTGTCAAAAGGTAGACGGGACAAAATACTTATTACTCACAATGTTTTTCTCTATGTACTTCTTATACTGTGTTTAAATGAGACATTGTACATTTATTTATACAGATATATACATACAAACAAACAAGAGTACTTAATAACACAGCTATTATCCATTTAAATTCCATACTACAGCATCAGTAAAATAAGTATCTTCCCTTAAAATTAGCATTTGACCTTGTTTTAAGGAGGTACTCTTAGGAAGAATAGCATCAAAGAACTTTAATACAGCACGATTATAAACTTGAAGCTACAAGTCTAAATAACCAGTGGAGTTTTTAAATTGCTTCTCAATTACAAAGCTGCTGTTTCACTTAAGCCATATTAAAATTAGTTTTACACTTAACCAGCTGTAGCAATTAAATGCTATCCAATTTGTATTTTGAATAGGCCCCAAAAGAGAAATGATTATGAAACAATCCCCTAATTTAATTATTAAACTATTTCTTTTTCAACTCTTGCTCTCATCAATTATATTATCTACATTGTCAAAATTAACCATTCTATAAAAATCACTATAATAATATATAATATATATAAAATATATATATTTATTATACTTATTCTCTATATCCTTATAGAGAATGCAAGTCAGTTACATGTTTTATAAAATATTTTCTTAAGCAACAGCACAAGAAAGTTACTATACACTATATAATCAATTCCAAACTGAATTTGCCTAGAGCAGAGCAATTTGGGTACATGCATATGACAGAAATAAGGGTGTTTTAAATTACCCTCCCACTCAGTACTTGGGACCACAGTAAATGACAAGAGCAAAGTTACAGAATTGTTCTCTCCCTCCACGTTCTTCTTCCAGTGAATATGCAACAAATGCCAGTGTTTAGCTGGTCCCAGTATTTAACTCTGGCTTTTATGAGCTACTGCAAAAGCAAAAATCTGCTCCCAAACACAGCCCCATTTCCTTTGCACAGCAAAGCTGCGTGGGCATTTCTCTGTGTACACAAAAAAGCACTTGGTCCACATGTTGTTTCTTATGGCTTAATGACAACAGCCAGTCTGAACATGTATAGTAGCATCAAGGCATGAAGTAGCCTGTACATTTACGAGCCAGGCAGCAGATTGCAAATGAATTACTGGCTCTTTTGAAATCTGATTATTAATGGCAAGCTTCTCTAGCACACTCATTCTGGAAGAGAATGAAAACGTGGTGTATATTTATCCTCAACACACAGGTTATAATTGTAGCATGCTGTGTGGCTAACATTTCTTAAAAAAAATAAACAATTAAAAAAACCCACAAGCACATTCTCAAGAAAAAAATAAAAAGAAAAACAAAGCAAATTATTTTCTATTGATGCACAGGTAATTAGATTTGCCTGCTTCATGTCATTTTATGGTTCCTTTAAAGCTAATTCACATAAAACACTAGACAAACTGTTAATTTCTAGTGCATTTGGGTAGGATCTTATGTCTATAAGCTTATTCAATGAACTACACACTTGTCAATAAATTCATTTTTTTCCATCTGTGACACACACAATGTGGGTGATGTTCCACATTTTATAAATAGCCTAACAACACCATTTCAATCTGTTAATACATAGTTTTTAAATGGCTTTTTATGCTACTTTACTGTTTCAGGATGGGTTTCTTATCCTGAAAACTGTAACTCAGGAGCATACAGTGCAATGCTCATAGAGGGCAAGCTTCTCATAGACAGGAAAAATATCACAGAAACGTAGCTCAGGTATTCAACAAAATATGTCACTCTCCTGAATAAAGTTTGTAGTAAGATGAAAAAATTCGCCATACTACCCCTTTTTTCTTCAATTAGATGTAGTTGAACATTTGTTACTACAAAATTATTTTTATCAAAAGACAAAAAAAAAAAAATCTCAAATAATTGACAAACTATATTTTATAATGGCAGTAAAGACAGAAGTACAAACAGAAGTATCTATGCTAAAACAACCTAATGCAGTATTTGCAATATAATGCAATATTTGCAATATTAACAATTGCTACAACAGCTATAGAGATGTTTGCAGACAATACTCTCCGCCAAACTGCACTTAAGGAATGTGCTTTGTTCCTGATTTTCTGTTCAGATGATCAGATACCGTCTATTAAGCGGGGAGAAAAGGAACCAAACAGATCAAATCATGGAGGCAGTCAAATGTGGAAGCAAAAATCTTTTAAAAGATGATTTCAGGAATAAAAATGTGATTAGTTTCAACTACATGCCCTGAACGGACGAGTACAGGAAGATAAGATTAAAACAGAAAATTACATAGGTCTTTCAAAATAATAGTAATTATTAAAAAAAAAAAAAAAACACACAATTTTCCTTAAGTTGTCCCCTTCAAGGCACATTCTCCCTGTTAAGACCTCTACATTTACATTTTGGAACGTATAAAGCCTATATAAATAAATAAAATCTCAAACCAAAGAGGTAACTGTGAACCTGTGAACTCCTCGACAAATCCTATCCTGCCAAAGGATTCACACAGCTGGAGCTTTTAGGATGCAAATGCAAGGAGGGAGCTCCACTGCAAACATTTTCAGTGCTGCATTGGGGAAGGTTCTCAATTTCCTTCTGACAAGTGTAAGAAAGTGCTGCCAACAGCAACGAATCAATCACCTCCTTTGGCTTCTGAGAAGTACTTGGCTACCTTTGGGATGGCTGGTGTGACACGCCGGCGTATCCAATTTATTTTGAGCGCTGCTTCTAACTTCATTATAGCCAATCTAGGCCTGAAGATTAATTTTACTGGCAAACACTAGTAGATGGTCAGGAGTACGGCTCTCATTCCCTCCATCAATCATTTTGTGCCTTCATTCTCTTTTTATTAAATGCAAAACAACGTCATCTTAAAAAAATAGCCCCCTTGTTGTTGTCCTACCTTTCAATTAGTCATTTTGAACAAGGAAAACACGAGTCCCCTCCACTAAACAGTACCAAGAAAAATTTCACAGTAGAATAAATGCAACTTAAGCTGAGTATTAAGATGAATCATAAGATGAAGTAAAGAAATTCAGAGAACTCATCAGTCAATATTCATCTTCTAGACTCCACTTGCTGCAGATCAGTACAATACACTCAGATCAGGCGATCCAGCACGATTTTATGGTCTTATGACATGTCCAGCAAAAATAACTTGCAAAATCATCTATTGAGATTTTCCTAGACTGCAGCCCTTTTACTTTCTAGATATATCACACTGCTCCAATATTTGCCCTTTTAAGAAAATAAAAACTGAATGTTTAATAAAATAGACATAAAATTCTCTAAAATTAATTTTTAATGATTTCTTTCAGAGAAATCAATGGTAATTGATTTTTTTAAACAAAGACTGTTGATGACGTATCTGACTGAAACAGCACCAGAAGGGCACTTGTTCACTTAGCAATTCCATTTGCACTATTTTTCAAATTCTCCTCTTTTTTTTCCCCCCTCCGAGCACCTGCAATGCTCAGCTTTTTGAGTGAATCTGCCCTTCATGACGTGCAAGAAACAGGTAACAGCTACAGATTCCTTCATCATATGGAACATAAATGGAACACAAAATCTGCAACTGCGATTAACCATGAACCTAAATGTGTTTTTTACGTATACAGTTTCATGTGCTTTATAATAATGCAAAAACAGGTAACTAATCACTAAAATTAGACATCAGTTCGTACACTATCTACATACACGTTATCTTACTGAAGATAAATTACACAGTATGATATTTTATATTCTCTTGATGTCTAACTTTAAAGAAATTCCCAGACATTAAACTTGTCTATCTAAAGTAAAATCCTCAAATAAGCAATTCACTAGTCACCCTTTAGAATACTGTTGGTACCTCTATTGTTAAAAAAATACATATATATTTTCACATACAGAAGTTACTTATTACAAAATATCATAGAGTTTTTTGCAAACAACTCACTATGGGTCAGCTAAGGCTAAAAACTTTGACTGAAAAAGCAGGTTTCAAGCTTACTATTATTTTATTATACATTACATTTTATTGTTACTATTATTATTTCACTGGGATGAAGAGTCTTACATGATGAATAGGAAGAAAAACATCTTTCAGGTAGATATACTTTATCTGCTGACACTTAATGAGTTCAGCTCTTCATAAACCAAATTTATAGTAGGCAGCTGGCTCACTGCTGAGCTTAAGCAATAGAAATCAGAACTTTTCTCAGTGTAAGTCTTCGGCAGACATATAATTTTTATTACTTATTTTAATGGACTTTTTTTTGCTGATTATCACCATTACTAATAATCAAAAATTGTTCTGGAAAAATTCCAAAACTTACACTTGACTCTGAGGGAAAAAAAAAAAAAATTATGCACAAATAAGTACTCTGATTAAAGTAAGGGGAGAAAGCTTAGATTATATTAAAACTGTAGGTGCAAAGGAAAATAATCTGCTTACTATTTCAAATGCAGAGCAATTCCCCTGCCCTTACTTTGTCTGACAAAAGACATTCAGGTCAGTTTTCTTAAATCTTACAGTAAAATTCAATATATGAATCTGACACTAACACATTTTTAAAGATGACAGGTAACAGATAAAGACTGTATAAAAAACTATCGAGTGAAAGCAAAAGATTTCAGGTGATGCAAGGCATCATTTTTCCATAGCAGGCTTCTTAAACAGCTGCTGAACATTTTCCAAGCCACTCAAGCACATCTAGTTCAATCACACTCTGCTCTCTCTAGTTCCAGGAGAGCCATTTCTCCCTGGAAAACCCTTCAAACCAGACTGCTGCCAGCACCAAAGACCTCAGAGCTCCATTAATGCTCAGTCTTGCACAAATCAACTGGATATGGTCATCCTGATAAAAAGACCCTACAACACGGCCCAAATTCCTAGAAATAAACAGGAATAAAACAAAGCCATGAGGTTTCAGATCCATACAAAGTGATCGACTCCTCCATAACGCTGCATCAAGGACCGACTCCATGGGAGCGTGCAGAGCTGCCAGGAAGGCCCA